AAAAAAAAAAAAAAAAGAAAAAGTGAACTGGATTTTAAAAAGTGTGGTACATATACATGATGGAATATTACACAGCCATAAAGAAGGACAAAACTATGAACTTTGAAGCAACTTGGATGGACTTAAAATCTATAATACTCAGTGATCTACCACAGAAGCAAAGAACTGAGTATCACATATTCTCACTCATAAGTGGATCCTTAACCCTTTGATACATTTTAACTGAGGCTGGGCTTGGTGGCTCATGCCTATAATCCCAGCACTTAGGGAAGCCAAGGTGAGAGGATTGCTTGAGCCCAGGAGTCCCAGACCAGCCTAGGCAACATAGTGAGACCTCATCTCTTCTAAAAATTAAAAAATATATATAGCTGGGCATGGTGGCATGAACCCATAGTCCCAGCTACATGAGAGGCTGAGGCAGAAGGATCACCTAAGCCCAGGAGGTTGAGGCTGTGATGAGTTGTGATCATGCCACTGCACTATAGCCTGAGAAACAAAGTGAGACCTGACTCAAAAAAAATTTTTTAAAACATGTTACTTTAGTCATTTAATAAATATGTGTTAAATACCTCTTCTGCCTCGAGCAAATTCAGAGATGAACTTGATAGGCATATCCCTCCTTTTATTGAGTGGATTTTCCAGAATGGAAGGACAGAAAATAAGCAACTAACAAGCAAGAGAGGTTAACTAATAGCAGGTGCTATGAAGGGAGCAAAATAGGTGTATGGTAGTGACTCATGGCTTCTATTCTAAAGTGTGTGCTCAGTGAAGGCCATTCCAGACAGGTGAAAGTTGTACTGCATCCCAGGTGTCAAGAAGGATACAGTCATACAAAGTCCAGGGTAAAGGACTCACCAGGCAGAGGGGATGGCACCTACGAAAGCCCTGAGGTAGGAAGGAGTATGGTTAGGGCAGAGGAAGCAAGAGGGAGTGAGCAGGAGATAAATTAGGGATAGGCACACCCAGGCTGGGGTTGGATTTTGGACTATATCAGGTGAGATTCCATACAGAAGATGTAATCCCACAGGCTGACCTGGGATCTGGGGAACAGGGATTCTTGTCTTAGATAGCTTTTGAACCAGTGCCAGTCCCTGAACCCCTGTATAGCTCAATTTCCTGAACTGCAAAATTAAAGAAATCGATTGGGTGATATCTAAAAATCCTGCTAGAAATTTTAAAATATATATATTTATTATTCTTGATGTGATTTATTGGTACCAGGATAACTGGGTTGTGCCATCCATCAGTCAGCCTTCACTTCTGTCTGATTCTCAATTCCCTCAGCTATGAAGGGTATATAACCTGAAGGGCTGAGAAGATCGAATGAGATCAAAAATGTGATGTACACTCTAAATTACAAAGTCAATGCAAAAGTAGAAAGACTATTAAGGGGCCCCTGGGGTGGAAGGGTTCAAGCTAACAACCCGCTTCCCTACTCTCTCCCAGAAGTTTTCTCCTAGAGAAATATGCTTTGCCTTTTTGTTTTTCAATCTTTTAAAAACCCACATAACGGGGGTGGTGGGTACACTTAAAACCCATATCAAAAATACTTGTACTGCCCCCCCAAAGCTGTTGAAATAAAAAGCTTTAAAAATGTAAAAAATGAGAAATAAAAAATAAAATAATGTCCTGGCTGCCATTTTAACTATTTTACATGCATTTTTGGATTTGATTCCCCAAAACAGTCTTGTGAGGTAGGAGTTATTTTACAAAGGAAGAAGTTGAGATCTGTCTCTCTTACCATTTTCTCTCTTACACAGTTTCCTTTCTTTAACCTCCACCTGTCCACAGGGCTAATCTGATCACCAACTAAAGAGGAGGAACCTTTATTGCCAAGTAAAAACAGCACTGGAATCCATTTGAATTTTGGAGACTTAAATACATCCTGAGGGAAATCTGTCCTCTGAATGCATGACCACAACTGTTTGGCGTGAACTTAACAAGGTTTAAGACTCACTTCCTCAACTGGAAAGTGATCATAAAAGTTTTTCTAGATCACCTCTCAGTCAAATTATTCTTCAGAATGATCAGGGAAGGAGCACCATTTTGCTTTTGTAACTCTCTATTTTAGTATAGGCTTATAATGAAAAACAATATACCAGAAGACATCATCATGAAGAAATTAAAGTTTAACAGAGCATATTAAAATTTTTAAGTTATACTCCTTTCATGGGACAATTATTTGTTTACTCAATAAATTTTTATAGACTTTGATCAAATGATCAAATTCATCATTAGTCAATGCTATAGCTCCAAGGTATGAAATTCAAGGCTTCTTGTCTATGGCCATAATATAATACCCTGACCATGCCTGATCTCGTCTGAAAGTCAAGGCTTCTGAAATCCAAATATATTTGTTGAAGATGGGTCCACTGATGGTTCTAACAACAAAAATAGCTAGTCTACCTAAAAAAGTAATCAGGGTTGAGAATAACAGAAATAAACATATGGCAATTTTGTGTGTTCTAGCCTGTGTATGACATAGATAGGCAACTTTTTTTTTAGTTGGAGTCTCACTGTGTCGCCCAGGCTGGAATGCAGTGGCATGTATGACCACTCGAGTGTTGAACTGATGGGCTTCGGCAATCCTTCCACCTCAGCCTTCCAAGTAGCTGGAACTACAGCCACGTTACCTTGTCCAGCTAATTTTTTGATTTATTGCAGAGATGAAGTCTCATCAAGTTGCCTAGGCTGGTCTCGAACCCACACGCTCAGGCAATCCTAAAGTGCTGGGATTACAGGCTGAGTCACCAAGCCCTTCCTTGATAGGCAAATTTTAAGTAGTGTCAACATCTAGGTTAGTCAGACACAAAACCCTTCCACCATAACCCAATTTCAATGACCCCAAAAGCATGGTCTTAAAAACTAACAGCAGTGTTTTCTTTATAATTCTAGAACAGCTTTCTACTCTGTTACTGCTGACATTTTATTGATAAAGAGAGAGAGATGGAGTTGGGGGCTCAGCCTCCAAAGAAATTAATTTTGTTGTTGTTGTTGTTAAGAAAAAAAAAAGCACAAACTGTTCATTCTTGCTCAACAAGCACGTGTAATTTGAAGCCTCCTGGTTCTGATCAGATTTCAGACAACCAATAAAGATTCCTGCTCGACAATAAAACACCCAGGGCTGCAATCTGCCAGCAGTCTGCCCTCTGCACAGAGCCCATCTCACTCTTCTAAGGGCAATGCTGTTCATCTCTGCAATCCCTATCTCATTCTGGAATTATGCAGAAAAGCCATCCCACCAAAGCTCAACTATTCCTGGCTTCAGCCTTTTGAGGACCCTATTGCTTTCTCTGACTGGTCAAATGCACCTAGAACAAAAATGTCCAAATAAAGGAAGTGAATCCCTACAAATATGGCAAATGAAACCAAGACCCTCCTTGAGGATATCTGCCTAAATGGAAACTCAGGAAATAAATCTGAAATTCAAATGCTCTAAGTACGGCTCTTAGGGAAATGCCCTTGTAGATAGCACAGAATGTGACCTTCATTGCCACATGGTCCACAGAAAGCTAGGCGGACTGTTCAGGCATTCAAAAACCCCAGACTCTCTGTGTGTGCCCCCTCCCCGCAATACTTTGTTACTATTCCAGAGTGGCTATGTACTGCCTGGGGCTAGCTTGTTTGATCTGCAGCTGCAGAAACAAACAAAGCCATTTAAACCAAATGTAAAAGGTTATGAAGAGGAAGGGAGAGTTAGTGAGGTCTGAGCAAAGAGTGAAATATAGGCTTTCACACCAAAGGAAGGCTTTAAATTGAACATGACTTCAGGAAAAATCAATTTGCCTTTTCCTTTCTTGTCATAATTTATCTGTGCAACATGACTCTTGCCAATTATTGAAGGGTATATTGTGGCATAAGCTCTTGCACATTGAAGCTTATCCTGCAGAGTAATCACATAATGCAGCATCTGTGATGTCACAATTGGTTTCCATGGTGATGAGAAAAAGGAGAAGCAAGGGGAGGGGGGGCGACATCATACTAGCGACATGACAATTGCTTTGGTAGCAGTGGAAATGCTACTTGTAAAACCATCCTTAGCTCCAGGGTCATAGAACTATCACTGAGATTATTGTGCAGTGAGTGATAGGGCAGGTGAGTAGAGAAGGTGAGCCATGTATGAGACAGGTGATATCTTACAAAAGCCATTAAAGAAAACAGCAAAGAATCAACATGCATGTAAGTGCAAGAGTTAAAATAAAATATATGAAGCCAGGAAGCAAACTGAGAAGCTCCATATTTCCTCTAGTCCCCATTACACATCCTGCCTCTTCCTACCTGATCTGCCATCTCGCTGAATGTCCACGTGGTACCATTCCCCATCATTGGCTTTCTTCTGAGTGGCTTTCACTTTGATGGTGCCGGAGCCCATGTCAAGCAGCAAGTACAGGTTGCCATCAAGGAGTTCCACGGCAAAGAAGTCTACTTTAGTGTTCTTTTGGCTCCGAGCATCCTTCCTCTCTTGAGGCTTTCCATGAGTGAAGAGGATCAGGCCGTTGGGTTCAGTGGTGCGGAAGTCAAAGGAGATGGAGCCCATGCGTTTCGTGTTCCACTTGGGCAAGCTGATGTAAGCCTCTGGGGTCTCGAAGTTGATGGGGTCTAGTGTGGCCACATTCTCACACTTGAACACAACTTCACCATAGATTTTCATCTTAGTGTCCCCAATCCGGGCCAGGCGAGACAGCTCCAGACGGATGTCATTATTCTTATAAACAACCTGTCAAAAGCCAAACAAAAGTGCCATAGGAATCAATCTTGTAAACAGTATCCATCCATCACTCACTGGGCACCTGGAAAAATGATTCAAGAAGAAACTTCAGGACGTGATAGTCTAAAACAACATGAGAAACATGAGACCCAGGACTCAAAAAAGCGTCTGAAGAAATATCTGATGTGCACACAGCTCTGGAAAAACCTCTATGTTCCTAGTTATTTCTTTTGTCTCTCCTTCTGATCAACTTTCTATATTGTTAGAAAGTTACAAAATATGAGCTTGTGATTTAAAATCAGAAGAGATTGAGTTGCACGCATGCAAATACTTCATACAAAGACATTTACGAGAGCATCCTTAGAACAAGACCAAAAACAATCTTAATAACCATCAATAACAGACAGCCCATCTTTATAAGGGAATATTATGCAGCAAGGTATTCCTTTGGATTTGGACTCTCCAAGTCATACTGTTAAGCAAAATTAGCAAGGAACAGGCTGTGGTATGCATTATACTGTCATGGTGATGAGGATAGCTCCCAACCCACCATGTTATGGGGTGAGGAATAGGGATAGGAGATCTTATATGCATATCTGCTCCTATAAGTGTAAAACATTTTTGGAGTTATAAAACTGTCACTGGGGAGTGAATTTGTGGAATTAATATTCAGGATTGGGAAGAAGACTTACCTATTCACAGTATTGGTTGATTTTTTTTTAACCATGTGAATGTTATCACTTAAAAAGAAGATTGAGTGTTAAGAGTTGGTAGGGACAGATTTTTGCATATTGTATGTACCCTCTGTATAGGGGTAGAATAAGGCAGCCTGAAGCCCTAGTTCAGTCAGTTAGTTGGGGACATTTATTTAGTTGAGAGTGCGATGTTACAGCAAACACTGAGCCAGACACTAATTTGCCTAGTAAGAGATTCCAGCAGGGCTTCTTGCCTTCTTGCCCTACTCTTGGTGGCAGTATACTTCTGCATGGCCATGGTCATTGTCCTGCACAGAGTAGGTGGATGCATGGAGGTGAGGATGCCAGTTAAAAAAACATATTATGACTTTCAGGTATAACCTGCATAAAAGCAGGAATTCATCTTGTTCCTAAAAGTAGAATGCCAAAAATGTTTTACTTGTATCAGAACTGAATTTTGATGTAATGCCCTGGGATGGTTATCAGTACTCTGATCTCTTAGTAATGTCATACCCATAAAACAAAAATAACAGAAAAAAAGATAAAAGAGAAAGGGACTAAGATTTGAGTACTGACTGTACCAACTGCTTTGCTATTTTCTTTTATATTATCTTGTTCAAATTCTAAGTCAGAACCCAGGTTTAGTTTTGAATTCCATATCCACTATTCACAAGCAGTGTGATCTTGGCAAAGTAACTTCTCTGCGTCTGTTTCCTCCTTTGAAAATGGGAATATAGGAATAAACTATTTAGTAATGATAAAATGATTTAAAATATGTAAAGCACTTAGAAGTGGCACATAAAAAGGGGCATAAAAGTCTCAGCCACTTGGAGGAGTAGTTGTTGCATTTATTGCTAATCTTAGTTCATTTTTCCCATAGCCCTGAGAAGGTTTCATTATCACTTCCATTTTCAGCGAAACAACACGGCTTAAGTGCTAAAATAAGTCTTACTTCTCCATTGCTGGGGGATAAAATTAATTGAACAGGTCATTCCAGTGCCTGTCAGGTAATCCCTACCATCCAGTGGTAGAACTATTTCCCTTTTCTCACCCATCACCAGAAGATAATTGATTGGAGCTGTATGCTTTCTATAGTTATTATAAGAATGATACACAACTATGACAAAGCATTGAAAATGCCTCACCTATTATGTAACCTTGACCATGGACCTAACCACAGTCAGCAACACTGAAAATAATGATACTAATATTTGTTGAGCACCTACTACCAAGCACCATGGTAAGAATTTAACATCAACCGTCCCATTAGATCCTGACAACACTCATGTGAGATACCTATAGTCAGCCCATCATTTTACACTGGAAAAACAGACACAAAGATAGTTAAGGAACCAGTCCACAGCCACACAGCTAATAAATGGCAGAGCAGGACTTGAATCTTGGCAGTTCGGTTCCAGAGTCCATGTGCTCAGGACTAGGCCCCACCAGCAGCACCCGTGAGGCTCATCTCTAACATGATAAGGAAGGTCATGCATGCTCAGCTTCCCAATTCAAAAGTTGAATTTCTTTTTTAACTCTCCTGGGCTGACCACATGCAAAGGGAAATACTGCAGGCGCCTTAGGCAATCACTCAAGTGAGTAAACCAGAGAAGAAATAATGAAAGTTTAATGACTGGCAGCTTCTCCTTTCTAACCCTCACTATTACGCCTCAGCAGGTGAGAGCTCTGTGTCATAACCAAGCTTTGGCTTTTTCCACATTCGGGTTAAATGTCTATGACTGGAGCACCTTGTAAAGGTTAATTATTAATGTATAACAATAGCTCATCCCAATGGGACAGACAGAGGCTTGGCTCTATTGAACAATAAACAGAAAGAGAGATCAGGTATCCCTATGGGAGGCCAGGGACAGAAGGGAAAAAAAAGAGCTTTTAAAGGGATATAGGGGCTGTGAAGAAGAACTCTTCTGTGAGAAGGGAACACAGTCGAGATGGGGACAGAAGGTGAACAACCAGAAAAAAGGTCTCTGGAGACAGGACAGGAGAGAATCAAGGCCAGGAACAGGCCAGACAGCGATAACCAGACTTCTCTCAAAGGCCCTGAAATTCCACAGCCCTGAAATTATCTGTCTATTTAAATGAAGTTTCCACTATGGCAAAAAAGGAGGCAACACTATTCTCACTGACAGTTGAGTAACCCTTCTGAGTCCCATTTTATTTATTTCCAAATGTAAGAGCCTCAATACATGTTGTACAGATTATCCCCCCTTTTTCCCCCCAGGGCTATTGTCAAGATCAAATGGGATGTTATACACGGGAGAACATAGAAAATCCTATGGCACACAAACCTAGGAAGAAATAATAGAATATCTTCATCTCCAGCAGTGTTGAGGTGCTACTGGAAACCAATAGGACCCTGAACTGAGGTTCTGTAGTTCTCCTACCAAGAGGAAAGGGTCTTGTACCCCAGTGATGCTGGACAGGTATGCACCATTGCTGGCCTCTGTGCCTCTCTGCCTTTCCCAACTGCTCTGTGCAGATCCACAGCCATGGCCACACAGAAGTATACTGGTGCCCTGAGTAAGAGTGCTGGGACCTGCAGTCAGGAAACCCCACAGGATCCCCTAACAAGACAAATTAGCATCTGGTACAGTGTTCTCTGTAAAGTCAGCCTCTCAACTAAATGAATGTTCCCAACTGACTGGCTGAACTAGGAAGAGATGTGGCATCAAGTGACAGAAAGCAGCCTTGGCTGACAAGTCGCCTCCTCGAGGAGCAATTAGATACAAAATAGAACGGGCTTCCCATGGGGGAAGGTGTCACACAGACTGGGTGGTAGAGACACAGAGTCACAAAGGATGACAAGTTGGTTTTATTACCCCACCCATGGACTTGTAAAGAGTGCTGTTTGGACTTGTAACTCATGCTTAGGAGACCAGAGAGTAAAACAGCTGGGGCAGAGCCTCAGAGTAAAGACAACATCTCTCAGTACAAATATACAAGGCCTGGATATTTCTCCATGATCCTTGGTACAGACACACACAGGAGCATTGCCAGGAATATGGCAAGCTATGAGAACAGGAACAACATAATAAAAATAGTTACCACCTGGTGAAACCCTACCATGCACCAGGCACTTTAAAAGCACTGTTGTATGTCATCCACAAGTGAAACAGGTGGCATTAGCCCCATTTTACAGATGTGAGACTCGGGGGAAATAGGTACTCACCCAAGATCATGTAGCCCATTAAGAGCATAATCAGGACTTGATTCTCTATCTCTCTGACTTCACTGGAGCCAGGATATGCTCCCGGGATGGCAGTGTCTAGGCCCTCCTGTAGCCCATGTCCACAAAAAAGCAGAAATTCCTTAGTGTTGCACAAAAACCATACCCAACTCCAACTTGATATGCATAGTCTTCACCTGTGGTATGATGCCTTTCTAATGGATTTCTGTACTTCTATACAGAGCAACCACCTCAGGTCTTTGCATAGACTTAGGTTTTAGAGCTTCTGTATCTTTGCTCACCAGGTTTCCCATGCTACAGTTCCTTTCTCTTCTCACTAGCCTCTTTAAATGGTGCCCCATTCACCAGGATCCACAGCCAAATCCATTCAGGCTCTTCCTGGCTACTCCATTACTTGCTGGTCCCCATCATTTGATAAATCAGGGTATTAGGATTCTCCAAAGAGACAAAACTCCTTGAATATATGTACATATGAAAGGGAATTTATTAGGGAGGTTTGGCTCACTCTATTACAAGGTGAAGCCCCATGATAGGCCATCTGTATGCTGTGCAATGAGAAAAGGTGGTAGCTGGCTCAGTCTATGTCCAAAAGGTTCAAAACCAGGGAAACTGGTAGCCCTCTGTATGAGGCCAAAGGCTCAAGAGACCCTGGGAGGCCACCAGTGCAAGTCTCAGAGTCTCAAGGCCTGGATATTTGAAGAATCTGGATATCCTAGGGCAGGAGGAGAGAAAGTAAGGCATCCCACCAGGGAAGGAAGAGAGCAGGAAGGAGGAAACTCAGCAAGTGACTTATCCCCTTTCTTTCACCTGCTTTGTTGTAGCTGTGCAGACAGCTGATTGGATGGTGCCCCCTACATTGAGGCAGGACTTCCTCTTCTAGTCCACTGACTCACATGTCAATCTTCTCTAGAAATATCCTCAGGGACATACCCAGAAACAGTACTTCACCAGTCATTTCAGTCTTGTCAAATTGGCTCCTAATATTAACCATCACAATCAGAATCCTTATATTATCTGCAAATGATGATGCTATCTGCCCTATTGACCAAAGTCACTTGTCTTGATTTGAAAAAGAGAGACTATTCTAACCCTACATGATGTACTTTTTA